TTTCATATTACACGGTTACTCATTCGACTGTTTGTCTGCCTCTTTCAATCAGAATGTAAGTCCCCGAAGGGAAGAGACTGTGCATATGTTGTCTACTGCATCAGTCTGAGTCCAATTACACAGTAATCTGAACAAGAGAAGTTCAATATAAAGACTTATTAATTATGACAGGAAATGGGAGTAGAGAGGGGCTGGTAAATAGGACGTAAAGAGAACCCCAAATATAGAAATAGCAGATACAAGGAACAGCCATTACCTCTAGGACTGACACAGAGGACTCAAGAAAGAGCCTCCCCAAGACCCACACACATACCCTATGGCTGAAATCCAGACCCTGCTCCAGAGGGCACAGCTGGGGCAGGTGGACCCTGATGGACATCTGCGTTCTGGGAACTTGCCGGAAAGCCACACTCCAGAACTTACTGGAAATTGATCTTCTGGGCTGCCAAGGAAAGCTGTTCGGGTAGTGTCTCAGCAAAGGCACTCTGCTCCGAAACTACATAAGGGGGTTCGTGGAGGAAGCTAGTGGCTGCTGGGTGCAACGAATTGCCACCTGCCTGGCCAGCACGCCAGAATCAGGAAGCAAAACGCTTTCCTCTTGTAATGTCTCCCCAGCGCCCTCTACGGACAAAGCTTTGGTGCCAGTTGACAAAGGAAACTATTTAAAGGGCCCAGATCTATTTTCACAGAGCAGGCAAAGAGGATGAGTTTGAAGCTGAGAGACGATAAATAAACAATAGCTAATTTATTGTTAAATTCCCTTATCCTGGCACATACTAGGTCAAGAATTTTTTTTCAATAAATACTTGATGGAGGAATACATAATTCATAACACGTAAGAGAAAATAATGTGCTTGCTTTGCATACATCACATTAAGATTGGAACCCCAGGCCTAGCTTCCAAGAGGAATGCTGCTGCTGAGCCCTGCCCACATAAAAATTCTGGAGCTCCCCACTGTGCGATAGGGATAAGACAAGCCCCTAGGTGACTTCACAGCTTGGCTCAACAGTTTGTGAAAGTGCAAAAAGAGAAGCACAGGGGTGCTTGGCTGGCTCCGTCGGAAGAGCATGCAACTCTTGATCTCTAGGTGGTGAGTTCGAGCCCCACGTTGGGTGTAGAGATTATTACAAATAAATGAATAAATAAATAAATAAACTTAAAAAGAGAGAGAGAGAAGCACGAGCAGAGAGCAGAAGAGACAAAAGCAGCTGTTTGCCCCACCCACTTTGTGTGTTCCACTGGGACACCAGTTGCTTCATTTGGCATCTTTCTGAGACATCACTGTCATGTAGATCTGCCAAATGAACAAAGTGTGAAGCACATTCAAGGGCAGTATTTCAAAACTGCACTTAATAAAAAGTAAAGAAACATCCTGATTTCTTGTCACTCTTCTGTTGACACAGACTGTTGAAAGAGTTTAGCAGAGAGGTCTCTGACATTAGTTATTTGATATTTTCTAACAGAGCAGTTTCCTCTTTGTCCACAGACCCTTTGAATAGCTCTTCAGGTTCTGTTATTTGGATTCTCATTCCCTGCCCTGGGAAATAACTGCATAGAATCTCAATGAATATGGCCCAAATGATACAGAAGCTTCCTATCCTGACACAACATGGTGTTTGCTCATTAATGCCGTCAACAAGTATTTACTGAGCACCAACTATGTGCCAGACATCATTCTAGGCATCTGGAGTGTGGCCATGAACATAACTAAGTTCTGGTTCTTATGGAACTTGCTAACATTCTGGCAAGAAGAAATAACATGGAACTTCCTACAGAGGCACCGTGGGTGATTTAATGAACTATTGAAAAGCTCCACTGGGAACAAATAACCAGCCCTAGAATAAAACGTGATTGTTCCTGGTGTTCTTAGAAAATTCGCTGTCCTGGTGTAGAAATTGTATCACTCAAGTCTTCTAATTTTTGGTTCTTAGGAATGTTTCAAAAACAGTGCTGTCCAATGGAAATATGTGAGCTACATCAAGTAATTTAAACCTTCCTAATATCTGGATTTAAAAATTAGAAACAAACAGACAAAAATTAATTTTAGTAACATATTTTGTTTAAACAATTATATTCAAAATATTAGAATTTCAACATGTAATCATGATAAATTATTGAGCTATTTCATGTTCCTTTTTTTTTTGTATTGACTCTTCAAAATCAGTGTGTATGTGTTCTTATAGCACATCTCATTTTGGACTGGGCACATGGGACAGAGGAGGTTCAGAAAACTGCCCAGAGTTCTCCATCCTCTTATTTTGGGGATGCAGAAAGTATTTGCTGAATTGAATTATTGAAAGTATCTGGGGATGGCGTTCACATTGTGAAGACCATCGTAGCCTTCCTTTGCACCTGCCTCCACAGTGCCCAGCAGAGAGAGAAGCCCATGGAACGTGTTAGGTTGGACATTAAGTCATTGATTTGTCCACTGAGGCGTGGGATATTACTCAGAAGATTGGTTTTCCACTAATGCTGAAGCATCTCTGCCAATGTCTCAAGTTAGAGTAGGCAAATGACACTGAGAAATGAACGTCCGAAACAGACCCTTAAATTAGTCGACCATCAACTTGACTTTCTCTGAATTCCTTCACGCCCCCAAAGGCTAGAGGCTCACTAGGAAAGGCTACCAGCCGCAGCGCCTCCCCTTAAACCAGGGAGCTACCCCTAGCTGGATGAAGATTAAGGGTGAAGGCGCTGTCTACCCCCGGGCGTCCCTTCTCGCCACGGAGTCGGTCCCCACCTCCTTAGCCCCCTCCCTAAAAATGCCTCTCCCCCCCCCCTCTGCCCCCGTACCACCCCCACTTTGCCGGAACTTGTCCCCGGGGTGGTAGACCCGCCCTCTCTCGTGGCCCGCGTGGTCCGGCCCGTTTCGACCGCGTCAAACTAGACTTGCTCCTCCGAAGAGCAGGAAAAAGAGGGACAGTCTTCTTGCTTCTGATCCCGGGGAAAGGAGCATCTCAGGGGCGCAGGGGCGTTTTCTACCCTGTGCCTGCGTCAGGTACCTCGTTGACACTGTCCTAGCGCGGGACCGACTGACAGTCTACGGAGTGCGGGTGGCCTCCTCGACAAAGTTTCTTTGGGAATCGGGCGACTCCTGCCCCCGGGCCTCCAGCCCCACCCCAAGACTCCACGGTTACGCCCCCGCGGCGCCCGCGGGGAGCGACTTGGGGGTGCTTCGTCGCACAGTTGCTTGGGGAAACTGGCCCCACTTCGGGGTTAAACGGCAATCACAGCCCCCTCGGGGCTCGGAGGGGCGCCCTCCCCACCCGCAACCCTGGCCCCCAGCCCGGGTAAGCGTCTCGCAGCTCAGTCTCCTGCTCTAAATAAGAGCAGGGGCCCGAGTCCGCGTTCACACGGAAAATTATGCCGGCTCCAGCGGCGCGTAAAATTGATGTGAACCGAACGAAGTGGGATCGGCGTGATCCTCCCTCTCTTGTCTCAACGGGGGTTTCGGCGCGTTACACAAGGCCGAGCTTGTCTCTTTAAGGAGACATTGGACCCTAATTAGTCCGCATTCCTGGCGCGGCCGAGGAGCAAGGGGCTGAGGGTGTTTGGGTTGGAGGGGGGCGGGTGGGAGGACGAGACTCGGAAGGAGATCTCCTGACCAGCCTCGAGTCTTACCGCCCCCTCCACCCTCTTTATTTTGCCGCCACCACCGCCACCAACACCCAGTTCTGAAGATGCAGCTAGGGCAGCAGCAGCAGCCGTCGCCACAGCTTCTCCCCGGCCCACGTTACTTTGATTGACAGCTGAACAAATGTTTCCCCGGTTCGAACGCTCGCGCTAAGGAACGTCAGCCAAGACGAAGCTCCGCCTTGGGCGGGCCATCTCCGCTCCGCCTCCGCTAACCCCATCCCGTTCCGTTCATTGGTCCGAACCGCGGACGACGCCCGGCCCCCACGTGGGCTCCAGCCCGGCCAGCTCCTCCCCTCTGGCTCGCCATTTGTCAGCAGTGAAATGATGGGCAGTAACACAGAACGGCGATTAATGTTCAGCCATCTCTGATTGGTTGCTGGAGACGCCTACCGCGCCGAGGGTGGGCGGGGCGCTTGAAGGGGGCCCCAGAGCGGTCGCGTGGCGGGCCGGTGATTGTAGTCAATCTGGCCGAATCCTCGACCGCGGTCGCTGGGGGTGGACTACATCTCCCGGGATGCTCCGCGGTCCCTCCACGGACGTTTGTGAATATGTATCAGAATGTTAATGATTAGCTGCTGCTAAATTTGGTCAAAGAAGTCACCTACACGGAGCGTGTTGTTAGAGCTGTTCTGAGCGGGTGTTTGGGCTGTTGGCTGCTTTCTTCCCCCTCTCTCACACACTTGTATATTATTTTGAGGTGGTGTTCGCAGAGTTTGAAAGGAGAGAGAATTAAAAAAAAAAAAAAGCCGCAAGCGTTTCACTCTCTTTTATTTTTATAATCCCCTTCAATTTGGGGTTAAAAAAAAAAGACAAGAAAACAGGAAGGAAGAAAAATAAGGAAATGAGATGTGGTAAAAGAAGCTAAAAGGTGCCTTTTAAAAGATCGTTGCTGTGAAGTGAAAAAATCTCCAGAGAAACCAAAAAGCACCGCCGAGACCTCTTCCGAACCAAAGGAGTTTGTGTTTGCTTTTAGGAAAGAAGAGAGAGATCATTCATTCGGAGGAATAACAACCAATTAAAAGACAAATAAAAAAAAGTTTGGAGTGGGACGAGCGAGCGGGCGGGCGGCGCTGCCGGCGGGCGCTGGTGCGCGGAGCTCGCACTTTCCCGGCCCGGG